TTTAACGTTAAATGGACGTGTACACCGACATTTGTTTTTATATGAGTTTCTTTTTGTAATTTCGGTGAACTCTGCCAGTCCAATGAATTGGTATCTTCGTCCCGTTATCAATTAACAACGTATCATTCCAAAGTAAAAATCAAAAATAAATGTTTAGACAGTAAGATTCATCATTTTCTTAGGAATTTGAGTAAATTAAAAGTCTTTTAACTAGATCTTATACATATTCACGTGCCGTTTGTTGCAATGCTCGATGCGGACATGGTAAATATCAATTTATCGTTGAGTTTGATGAAAATTTTGCACCACCAAATACCAATAGTACTGTTTTCTCAACATCCGACATTTGACGGTCGAATTTTGTCATTTGCTTCACCAATACTGCAATTCTGTCTGCGTACAAACCTTAAACGATAACACTTTTTTGTTGTTTATTATAAGAATGAATGACATACACACAACATTAAGATGAAATGAAACCAAAACAAATCGAGAAAAAAATATACCTCGCTTGATTCGTTGAATAAATTCAGCTGGTATTCAAGATAAGTATGGTACAACCAATAATTCTCTATATTCGTTCCGAATCATAAGCACGTTGAATGATTGGCGGCATTTGGGTTTGGCGCAATTCCTGGGTTTGGCGCAAAAGAAAAACGCATTTTTTTTCAAAACCAAATTTGTTGACTAGTGAAAGTTCCTAATTTTGCTGGTTTTTAACTATTTTTAAAAGATGTTTACCTGGACTAGTAAATCTGTATAATTTGGCCATTTGAAGGTTTATAAAGAATAAAATGGTCTTAATTGATGAAATAAGATCAATTCCAGCATAGAAATGTAAAAAATAAACCAAAACTGTTATTACGAAAAATCAATTTTTTTTTCGATTTTTTTGAAAAAGTTGTCAAGTCGCCACCCTATATGACATATAAACTCATCAAAAAATGGCTGTTTTGGACTAGACATTGATTCAAATAAATGGAGCGCAAAATGTGAGATTTCAAAAATTACTTTTATTACTCTGCATCAATATAAAAATTGTAATTTGAACCAAAAATATATATATTCATAGTTTATAATGTTCAATCTGTGTCGCTTAGCACTATTGGCTCAGATAAATCTTCTGCATCAACATAGGTATTTTCTATATTTTCTTCCCCATCGTCACTTAATTCTATAATACAACGTCCTTCGTTGTCTATTTCTGTACGTGCTGAATGTTCTGGGTCTACATTAACAACCATATCGATTTGGTTGTCTTCATTGCAAAATACATCATTTTCACATAGCTCTTCAGTTTGACGAATTACATTTTGTTGATTTGTATAACTTGCTTCTGTGTGTGATAAAACGTTTCTGAGTTCATGTTCTAATTTGTTCGCTGTCTCACAAGCCAAATCGTATTGATTGATTTTGTCTAGGCAGTTCGCACAAATTGAACTCCAATCAGAATTCGCTGCATCAATCGAATCATCTCGTACGGAGGGATGATTATCCAAAAACTTCCAAACAAATTCAAAAATTTGTGTTTGTGAATGTTTTGATAACGTGTCATATAAACTAACGAACGATTCGCTAACGGTTGTGTCACATATAAAGCACTTTTTATTTAATTTTTCGACAAATGTATAATTTCCATCATTTTCATTTGGCATAGATGATGATATAGTCATATCAAATGGCTGTAATGTTGATTGTGTGGAAACGGTGAGTAATAATTGGGTTGGTAATGGACAAACATTTCTGCGGAAAGAAACAAAAAGGTAACTCATACGGATAAAAATCATGGATTAAATCATACCTGTGCGCAATGAGATTTTTAGATGCTGGTTTTTTCCATGTTTTCAAACATTGCTGACATTCACCAATTCGTTCTAAACCGTGGCTTGAAGGCTGATATTTACATTTAAATCCAGGCACTAGGGCATATGCAGTATTATGAGCGTATAATTTCCGTTGTCCATCAATTTCACGTTGACTTACGACGCTTTCATGAAAGAATTGAACATCATCTGGTTGTCCATCATATTGCGTCAGAATGTCATTGGGATTTGGGCTATTATTTGTAATACCTTGCAGTTGGAATCGACACTTTGTATTATAATGATTTAACATGTCAAGATAAGTTGTTGTTGTGATTCTCAAATGACATATCAAACAAATGGCAGAAAAACTTCTTTCAGTCTCCTTCTGATTGTCGTATTTAAAAAACCATTTAATTGGGCAATTTTTCCTAAAATGTTTTACAAAAATTTATAATACACAAATGAGTGTAACGACAAAGGCATTACTTACCAATGATTTAACTTTGAAAAGGAATGGTTCCTGACAATAAAACCACAATTCAAACATTTTTTCATTAATACTTGATTGTCATCCTCTAGAACAACGGCTACTTCTTTAAATGTAGTTTGATAGTGATTGAATGTAGCTTGATTAGATTCCATTTTTGAGATTCCGCCATAGAAATCAAGAATAAACTTATTTTGTTGTACTATGTTCGACAATGTTTGGATATAATATTTCCATTTGACAGTTGTGACAAGTAAT